TCCACATTCCATGTGAACTCACTGTAGTGTAGTGTGAAGTAGGTGGTTCACCACGTTAAGTGGAATGTTTACCTTCCATTTGAGCTTAATCTAGTGCAATGTGAAGTAACAGTGGAACTGTGCAAGAGGTTCACTCCGGCCATTCACCCAGTCTTTTTCTCCCATTCACACTTCTCCAATGACCCAGATAGAGTATAACAATGGTCTGAGGTGGGTGCTCCAGTATCTCTTCTGTTTCTACTGTAACATTCAAGTGAGAGGGCATTATTGGAAAGATTATCTTAGTATAATGTGACTGGGTCGAATGCTGTGCTGGCTGCCTTTGGCATGGTATTTCAGTGAGATAGGACTATAAAGTCGGCATCAGATCCACGCTATCACAAGGAGGCAAGTACACCAACATACACTGTCTCCAGCACACATACACACATGCACGCTTACACAACACACATGGAGGCATGTCCTTAAATTATGTTAGCTGTTAATAGGACATTAAACAATATAAAGCCAAACCAAAGCAAAAAAAGAACAATGGTATAACACAGTACAAGATGAGGCATGCACACATGTGGAGGTATTAGCCAGGAGGCTTAGGAACAGTAGTTAAGTACCTAATGAGGCAGCTCCTGTGAGGTCCTAATATTGTATTTGGTTGTATTAGCTGATTGTATGAGTTATTAATCTAATTGTATTGTTATACGAGTGACCAATTCTAGCTAGATAGGGTGCTATATCAAATGTTGTATTATAACGAATGATAATTCCACTGCCCTAAATGTCATACAAGATGAGGTTTCATTCCATGTAATCTCAGGATAGAGCAGTCTCATTGTGATCTCATAATTGTGCAAATTATACGTAATTGGCAAAGATTTCGTGGTTATTAGTTCGTCATTATAGTTCTTTAACTACCCGTTAAGTAGCTAGGTTAACTACCCATTAAGTAGCTAGGTTAACTACCTGTTAAGTAGCTAGGTTAACTATATATAGCTACCCGTTAAGTAGCTAGGTGACCTGCAATGACAAAACAAGCCAGTGAACCTGTGAGCTGAGCTTGTGTACATGTTGGACTTCCAGCCAGTAACACTACCAACAGTCTATGGGTTTAATTACTATATGCTAGGAAGTATTTGCTGCAGTTTAACTATCACCTATTTTTGCCCTACGTAATGAGGGCAAATTCATCATTACAGTGACTTTCTATAATCAATAGACATAAAAATCAAATGTTAAGAGTGAAATTTATGATAGGCAAATATGTTGTTTACCGATGAGGGGAAAGTTTCACAGAGTGAGTGTTTACTGGTTTACAATTTTTCAGGACAGTCTGTGTTATAAAAATCACTTCATCAACTTTTCTGCTATTCTTACATTTATTGTACAACATTTGTTTTAAAGCGTCCTTTCTTATTCCAGGTGCTTAGCACTTGAGGGATGAAAGATGTATATTTACAATCATAAAAGTGTACGGTCAGCCTTTAACTCAAGCACATCTTACCACGTATTGCCCTGTAGTACCTTAAATAAGCCAGGAGATGCCTGTGTGTGAGGGTGTACAGGAGTTTGTACATGTGTTCGGCTTGTTATAGGTCGGTATTTCCAAAGGCTCATTATAATGCCAATTAAAGCTAAGAAACCATGATGTTCAACACAGACCATATTATACTGTATTCATAAATCAGGGAGAGGTGGGGTAACAATGGTACAAAAGTGTCTTGTTCAAGGACTCGACCTCTTCGCTTGGTAAGCGGGGATTACACCAATGACCTATAGCTAAGTGTCAATAAGCTGGCTCACAACCAACATTGTTATACAGCCCCCGAAAACATGCCAACATACCCGAAATGAGAGGACGGCTGTATAAACAATTGGTAGGAACATCAATAATTTCTCCCTTGTAACACATCAAGATACAAAAAGACCTTGGTAAAAACTGTTCCTCCCACCGACGAGATACTTGAGTCCCATACACACATTTCTTTCTGTTTATTGATTGTCACATGGGGAGAGCAGGCTAGTGGGGATATATGACAGCCCAATGTTGAGCCTCCGCACTCGTTGAATGTCTTTTCAGGGAGTTTCTCTAGTTAGTTCTTGAAAATATCTCATACTTACAGATAGTCTGAATCTGATCTGATCAAATAGGTGTTTCATACTGTAGTATCTCATCTATCATATAATTTGTACTCTAGTCACTGTATGTATAATACAATGTTTCCCCGGGCAACAGGTGACACCTAGTGGCTACCCCTTCAACAAACATTAGGAAACTAAATTGTTGAGCATCTTCTCCTTACGAAATACATTGTTCATCCATTGCTGATATCATGCATAAAATGTACTTCCTGCATCAAAAGTATACTTTTAAACCCCATACTTAAATATAACCTCCTCTCCCAATGTTCAAAACGTAATCGACCCAACCCTTCCAAAAATCTTATATTAGGAGCATATGCCTATTTCTTCCACCAAGTACATAGCCATATCTCTTCCTCACATTGTGTATGATGAGTTACCCAAGCTGATGAGAGTCGGTGTAAAAACGTATCTCTCTCTGTACATACACAACACACATGTTTTATGTTCATCAGTTACCTGACCTGTAGGTACGCTGCATTTGACGCAGGTATGGCTATAAATAGACATAAATGATTTCCCAGCATCTGTAGCCAGGCTAATGTGACATGCCTCGACATTACTCCCGAGCATCAATGGTTTTGATTAGGGCTGTTTGATACACTACTTTGGGGGTACTTCATATTTCCGTTTTGATGTGTAGTTGACCACATAACCACAACTATGAAGTCTCCCTCGGCTGTTAAGTATGATATTATCACAACTTTGGTAATACTAGACATTATTGATGCACAGTTGACAACACAGCCACAACTTTGATGTGTAGTTGACAACATGGACACAACTTTGATGTGTAGTTGAGAACATGGCCACAACTTTGATGTGTAGTTGAGAACAAAGCCACAACTTTGATGTGTAGTTGAGAACATAGACACAACTTTGATGAGTAGTTGACAACACAGACACAACTTTGATGTGTTGTAAGTTAATAACATGGCCACAACTTTGATGTATAGGTGACAACAAAGCCACAACTGTGATGTGTAGTTGACAACACAGACACAACTTTGATGTGTATTTGACAACAAAGCCACAACTTTGATGTGTAGATGACAACACAGACAAAACTTTGTTGTGTAGTTGACAACAAAGCCACAACTTTGATGTGTAGGTGACAACACAGCCACAATTTTGATGTGTAGTTGACAACAAAGCCCCAACTTTGATGTGTAGTTGAGAACATGGACACAACTTTGATGTGTAGTTGATGACACAGACACAACTTTGATGTGTAGTTGACAACAAAGCAACATTTTGATGTGTAGTTGAGAACATGGCCACAACTTTGATGTGTAGTTGACAACAAAGCCACAACTTTGATGTGTAGTTGAGAACATAGACACAACTTTGATGAGTAGTTGACAACAAAGCCACAATTTTGATGTGTAGTTGACAACACAGACACAACTTTGATGTGTAGTTGACAACACAGACACAGCTTTGATGTGTAGTTCACAACACAGACACAACTTTGATGTGTAGTTGAGAACATAGACACAACTTTGATGAGTAGTTGACAACAAAGCCACAATTTTGATGTGTAGTTGACAACACAGACACAACTTTGATGTGTAGTTGACAACACAGACACAGCTTTGATGTGTAGTTCACAACACAGACACAACTTTGATGTGTAGTTGAGAACATAGACACAACTTTGATGAGTAGTTGACAACAAAGCCACAATTTTGATGTGTAGTTGACAACACAGACACAACTTTGATGTGTAGTTTACAACACAGACACAGCTTTGATGTGTAGTTGACAACACAGACACAACTTTGATGTGTTGTAAGTTGAGAACATGGCCACAACTTTGATGTGTAGTTGAGAACAAAGCCACAACTTTGATGTGTAGTTGACAACACAGACACAACTTTGATGTGTAGTTGACAACAAAGCCACAACTTTTATGTGTAGGTGACAACACAGACAAAACTTTGTTGTGTAGTTGACAACAAAGCCACAACTTTGATGTGTAGGTGACAACACAGCCACAACTTTGATGTGTAGGTGACAACACAGACACAACTTTGATGTGTAGTTGAGAACATAAACACAACTCTGATGTGTAGTTGACAACACAGCCACAACTTTGATATGTGTCTCAAAATGTAGCCATTTTTTTGTGTATTTTAAAACAATATCCAACTTTGATGTGTAGTATGCAGCCTAGACACAAACTTGATATGCTTAAAGCATTATAAAACAACATTTTGTAAAGGTCCATAATTCCTATGGTCATGGTACACTGCCTGTATCTTGATTGAGTAAAGGGCTTATGAAATCAAATTTTGTTTAAATGAATGACCTTGACCTCTTGTCAAGTTTCAACATTTTCTGGCAAACAAAAATGCCCAGTGTTACAATATTTGACAGTAAATGCTGGGTAAAAGGACTAAAAATAGTCTTCTCAAAACCATGTTCAAGGTCACAGGGGTCAGATGCTTTCAAACTTAAAATGTCTTAAATTAATGTTATCTTATCAATATTTTCAAATCAATAGCATTGACTGACATTTACCAAGGTCACAGTAGTCATATGTGATTATTGAATTCTGAAAGCTTCTTCTCAAGAACTGCATTGCCTGGAAATGTGCTATTTGGCCTGCATAAAGTTTGTATAGGCTAAAAGCTATCCATATTGACAAAATAGATTAACAAGACAGATTTTTTTGTTATGCAACATCAAATATTTTGTTTCAGATTATTTCTTTTCCAAGTATTTCAGCATGAAATATGCTTGGCTATGACCATTAAACAAAGGGTCACCAATACAGTCCCCTTAGACCTCTTCTATCATTATTGCTGGAGTGATAAACCTGTACTATTGTCTAAGGTTGTGTTATCATCTTATCATTGCAGCAGGAGAAATTGACCCGGTGTACAGTTTGCTCAAGTGTGCAGCAGACCTACCAAAGGGCGGCCCAAAGGCGTGCGGGATCCACAGTCAGTGCTCGGGGCACCATAGCTCCATACGACGAGGTAGCCCCGGGGCTGGGGGGGACAGCAGCGGCAACACCTCCAAAACATCCAGTCCCTCCTCATCAGGTACCGCCCCACAAAAAAGATAAAATCTGTGTCACCTGTGCTTTCTTTGTGTCTGTCTGCACCTTGACTGCGAGTCCCTCCTTGTCAGTCTACACTCCACGCCAGGTCCAAAGGGGACACAACTCTGTAAGAAACTCTCACCACCTCCCACAGTGCCAGTGTCGTGTGTTGTAAGAAACTGTTTCCTCCTACACAGTACCGTCGTGTTCTGTGTGTCCACTGTTGTCGTTGTGGTAAACATTTCTGATTTTGTCATTATGCCCCCATCACTCATTGTGAGACAAACTGTACTGTTGTTTACATTTTTTTTTTTATAATTTAAGTACTTTTACTCAGAAATGTATACTTTATGAAAAAGATAAAATTCTTTTAATTTATACTTAGCATATTTTACAAACCTAGATTAATAGTTATTCCCTTAAGCAGGATACAGGAAAACACAAACAGTCATTTAGCATTCCTTAAGCAGGATACAGGAAAACACAAACTGTCATTTAGCATTCCTTAAGCAGGTTACAGGAAAACACAAACTTCCATTCAGCATTCCTTAGGCAGGATACAGGAAAACACCAACAGTCATTTAGCATTCCTTAAGCAGGATACAGGAAAACACAAACTGCCATTCAGAGCAGTTGATATTAGGGGATATGTATGTTTCAAGTCCTCTTTACTTAGACTTTTAAAGCCCAAGATCCAAAAATAAACTGATTTACCTTTTTTTTTAAATATTGAATTCCCTCATAACTTTGCATAAATTGTTTTTAACAGAATCAAAGTATTTTACCAAAGGGTTTACAAATATGTTCAAACAAAGGATCAAACTTACCAAGCTTTTGCTGTGGAAAGATTCCTTTGATGGTCTGTGGCAAGTATATTGTTTTTCATATGTGTAGGAAATTAAGTTGACTCCAGTCTGAATCATATGTAGAGTACCTAAGCCTATATTCATTAAGCCATTCTCATGCTCAAACTCCATTGATTACAAAACTTTTTTTTTCAGTCATTTTTCAGTGTTCAAGGTCACAAATTGTTCAAAATCTTTTAACTCATTCACCCCTGAAGACATATTTGAACTCTTCCAATTCAAAGGTTGGAATAGTTCATTATGATATTTCAGGGGCGAGCGAGTTAATCCTATGGAGCATTTCTTTCAAGGTTTCAGTATCAAGTCTTTCATTCCAGTGCTCAGTAGATAATACATTAGCATACATATTTTTCCTTCTTCTTTCTTGTGCTCCTGATAAAATCTTCCGTATTTTTTAAGATCATTTTTCATCACTTTTTTATATCTTCAAATCTGCATGTAAAAAGACAACAAGGATTGAATAAAAATTGAACTGATGCTAGATGAAGATTTTTTTTCTCAATAGACTTTTAAGTGTTGTCCCGTAGTAGTTGTTGTGGTAGTGTGCAGTAGTGAGAATAGTTATAGTGTCCAAACCGTTGTAGATTTTGGCACTTGGTTCAGCTAGACCTTGGTGTAGTCAGTTTTTCTTACAGATGTACTCCGGAGACCTGGCGATGGACTATATGTTACATATATCTGCTGCTTCGTAATCACAGTTGAACCTGTCTTGAGAGAACACACCCTCGATCTGCTGATATATATCATATATAGTTGAACCTGTTCTTAGGGACCACCTCAAGTCTCAAAACAGTTAAACTTGTCTTTTGATATTAAATCGTCTGCCGTTTAACTCATTCACCCCTGAAGACACATTTGAACTCTTCCAGTTTGAAGGTTGGAATAGTTCATAATGAAATTTCAGGGGTGAATGAGTTGAGTAGAATCTGTCCTTGAATACTATATGCCTTACGTATACAATAAAACCTGCATTACTATAGAACTTGATTTTTTGTTGGAGACAACATCCTCTTCCAATACAATATCACTTGACTAACCCTAACCCTAACCCTAACTGGCAGAGTCTCGGGTTTGACAACCAAAAAACATCACCCCTCGGGTTGGAGATTTCTCTGTTACACCCTTAAGGTAGGGGATGATTATTTTTCTCCCATCCTATTATTTCAGTCACAACTCCACCGACAGTAGTCTACCATGTTTGTAAACAAAAACACATGTGGGGTATATACATATCGCCATTCACTTTTGATGACGTCACAATTACCAATGACGCATTTTAATGACGTCACAATTGAACATGTGCTAATCGGCGCAAGGCCATCTCCCCCTAGTGGGTGACAAGCTGATCTTTCCCGGCTAAAATGGGAGACACACATGTGAAGGGTGAGAGAAAACATCCTCTTCCAATACAATATCACTTGACTTGTAAGACCAAACCTCTTTGTCAATATAGTTTTTAAGTAAGCCCACCTTCTTTGCCAAAAACAGCATAACTTAAAGAGACTACTGCATAACACGACATTTTTGCCGTTGTTTATCTTTCATCTGTTTTACCCTCTACAATGAGGACAAATTTATCATGGCATCAAATAGCATTACATGAAAAGGGCAAAATTTACACTGGGCAAACAGGGATTTTACTTGTGTAGCGCAAATATTTGACTTTGTGAAACTTTCTCAGTATACAGTATTCGTTCTTCTGACAAAATATAACTTGTATTTAGGGACCACCCCATCCTTCTGTAAATAGAAATAGGTGATTCTGGTGGGTTTTTTTTACAACACTGACACTCTTTACTATAGAAGCTGTTCTAAGAGAACATTCCCTCCTCAATGACCCCCCAACTCACCTTCCACTTCTTCTGATAAAGTAGATACAGTAGAGACCCCCATCTCTGCTGTTATATACATTTGGTAAGATCCTGCTTACCTATTAAAGACACCGTCTCTTGGCCAATGCAATAGAACGTTTTGTTGTGACAGTAGAACAGTTCCAGATACCGCCACTTCTGACAATGCAGTAAAACTTGTGTTGAAGGACCTCCCCTCCTGATGCCATAAAACCTGTCTTGAGGTCTGTTGATATGATAACCTGTCTTCAGACTTCCCCCACTGGGAATACAGTACAGAAACTGAAAGATTTTAATCTAGAACAAAGAGTCAGTGTGTTTGGTCTGAATTATAGTCATAGTCTGACTTATATATCACTTCAATCACCTATAGTATATATATATATATTAGAAATCAAAAATTAAGTAACCCCCATAATTAATGATTGATATTTCATTAGATCAAAGATTTGAATTTAAAGTTTCTTTTGTTTGTTGACGTAATTTTGTTGTTGTCTCGAAGACATTTCACATTAACTCATTCACCCCTGAAGTTTCATAATGAACTATTCCAACCTTTGAATTGGAAGAGTTCAAATGTGTCTCCAGGGGTGAATGAGTTGAAGGTAAAATAAACATGGATGTTTTATATTAGATGAGCTAAATAAGATGTGCTCAGGTGCAGTAACCCACGACAGGTTCAACTTGTGATTTGTATATCTAATTAAGAAGCTTTTATAGATGTATAGATTTCTTGTCTTTTAGCATACACATTAATAGACGTTGGTTTTGACATACATATGAATGATTTTATACTCATTATACCAAATATATACTCTTGTTTGTGTGTATATATGCCTTCATGTCATGTAGCTGTAGATCACAAATTTCTTTTCATCCTATCGGAAATACCCATATTTTGTAAATGAAGGGGACAGTTTGGTTGCCTGGATTTCCTTTAATTAAAGCCTGAGATATCACAGAAAACAGAAAAACTATGTCATCAACTCAATGGAAAAAGCCTAATATCAGCAGGATTTTTAGGGGAGTTTCTGCTTAATTTTGTAGCAAAATATATGTGTTATTTTACAGGTTGATCAGATATTGATAGAAGAGCCGAAATCTTGTTCCCATTCTATCTGCCTTTTAGATCACCTGAGCTTTTTCAAGTGACCTTTTCTAATCGCTTTCCGTCAGTCGTCGTCCGTCGTGCGTAAACTTTTTACATTTTCAACTTTTTCTCAAGAACAAGTGAATGGATTTTTTTCAAACTTGGTCAGAATCATCCTTGGTAGATGAGCTAGGCTACGAAATTGTAAAATTGGAATTCCTACCCCAACCCATGGGGCCAGGGCGGGGCCCAAAAGGAAAAAAATTACCAATATTTCAAAAATATTCTTCTCCAGACTCAGAGGTACTACATTCAATTTCAGTGCATAAAAAGAAAGATCATCAGGGACTTTATTTAAATTGTAAATTTCAG